GTCTCTACCAAATCTGCATATTCAAGAGACTTACTGCAAATGAATCAGCCCTGTAGAAAAGTGACTAGCTGCCTCAGTAGCATTGTTTTCCAGAGGTTTGGGGAGCCATACGGCGCAGCTTCAGGGAAGAGGTTGTACATTGTCTCCACTTTGCCAGCAAAAGTAATTTTACTCACAGGCTACATTAACTCGTCTAGTTTCCCATCTCTGCTCTTTCATACTGGTTGACAAGACAAGCTCTGATAATTACGCTTCAATGGAGTCACTCTATCTGGAGGGAAAGTGGGGGAATAGAGAATCTCAGCAGTTCTGCAGTGACACAGATACTATATTTCTGATAAATCCTTCAAGATATACATAATAATGGGTCAACCAAGTGGGGTTTGGACCTTCTTTTGGTGAGAGGACAGATAAGGGTGTTCAAGAAGAGCTCCTCAATGGGCATTTCAAATATTTCATCCTCCAAAAATCCCTGTTTTTGGTTTTTCATATGTGTTGAAGGGCAATCTGGTTCAAAATATTATTAATATAGAATCAAAAGAGCAAGAGGAGCTATAAACACATAAGACAAGATCTTTGCCCTGAAGAACTTACAGCAGGGATAATCAATAGGCAGACTGTAGGCCAAATGTGGACCTCAGTCACTTTTGATTGGACTCTGAAATCTTTTTATCTTTTTTTAATTACTATTATTTGCTCTAGCATCTGGATCTTGACAATAGCATGACTAAATATTTAGACCATGGCAAAAAATAATTGACTACCCTTGTCTTACAGTGTAACTAGAGAAGGAATTGATGAGGTATATGGAATGACATATGAAAGCAAGTGAAAAAGGAATGAAATACCAATTTAGGACACAGCTTGTTAGCTTCCCCTTAGATTGATTTTTTATTAGCACTCCTTTGCTGGTGGGCTGGGGAGAGTTAATTTTCTGGAAAATGTGTGTTTAAAATAAGAATGTGCAGGTAAAGCTTGATCTACAATGAAACACTTGAGTACACTTCACAGACTGCAGGTGTGTTTTATTAGTTTATTTGGGGGGAAAAGACTCTGTGCTTCCTTAATAAATAGTTGCTGTTTTTATATTCCTTTATGTCAAAGGATGGCAGTTCCTTTGTGTGTACACCAAGGTCTGAACTTCAAATTTAGTTCAGATAACTCTCAAAGGTTACTTGCCTTTCTAGAGTTTACCTGAACCACTTGTCTGCAAAGCTCAGTTGGAAATCTCTAAAGAACAGGCTTTGTGATTTCACTGAGGCAGGAAATGCCCAAGAACAGATTCTCCTGTAATATTTTCCATCTATTCCATGTCCTGCCTGGGATCTGGAAGGGCAGAGATTCATGAAAACATAAAAATATCCTCTAGAACTCAAGAAATATTTCATCCATGTTTGTTCATTTATATATAATTGGTACACAACTGCACCTCCTGAATGAGAGCACCAACATATACTATGCTTCAGAGAAAGACAGGGCCTTCTCAAGTTCCCTTTCCACATCACACAGCAGGAGTGAACTCATTGCCTCTCCTTTTAGGATGGAATGGGCAATACAAAAACAGCCGCCCACAGGAATAATCCCTGGCAGGTGGCCATCACTATATTTACTTTCACCTCCATAGGTATTTGAGGATCACAGCTCTGGTTGATCGTGAATCTGTCCGTGGCCAATTCGAGCAGTGGGAAGCGTCACAGACCAGGACGCCGCTTCTCGACACTCATATGGGCCATGAATGGTGATTCGTGGCCAACCAGAGCTGCGATTTTCCAATACTTGCAGAGGCATAAGTAAAAATGGAGGTATGAGCTATTAGGAACTGACCCTGTGGACTGGATCCAGCCCACATACCAGAGTTTGCCCACCCCTGCTTTAGGAGGATGCATGTTCAGATAGCTCCATTGTTATAGATCAGAGGTGGGGAAAAGGGCCTACATGGGCCGGATCCGGCCTGCCAAGCAGGTTGAACCAGCCCGTGGAGGCCCTGTTCAGGCCTGAGGGCGGGGGAGTGCACGAAACTTGCTCCCGCCCTGGCAGGACCACGCAGCTCTTTGAAGCACAATGCGCTCCTCCCAAGGCGGAAGGAGACGTCACACACTACCCCGCCCCCAACCCCTGATTGGCCTGGGGGTGGGAGGCGCATGCAAGTTTCCTCCGCCCTCCCCCCTGCCCTGTGAGGAGCACACTTCAAAGTGCCATATGCTCACGTAGGGTGGGGGCAGGGCACTCCCTCTGCCCCCAAGCCAATCAGGGCCTAGGGGCAGGGGAGCTGCATGAAGCTTCCTTCATTCTGCCCCAGCCCTGCGAGGAGCGGGTGGCACTTCTAAATGCCATGTGCTCCTCGCAGGGCGGGAGAAGGCTTCGCGTGCTCCCCTACCCCCAGGCCTTGATTGGCCTGGGTGTGGGGGAGTGTGCAAAGCCTCTTCCCACCCTGTCAGGGGCTTGGGTGCCTAGTGGGAAGGAGGGGCAAAGGGCTTCCCCACCCCCAGACCAATCATGGTTTGTGGGTGGGGTAGCCCAGAAGCATCCTGGCCACGCCCCTTCGGGGCTACCCAAAAATTTTTGAAGTGGCCCCCAGCCAAAAATAATTGCCCACCCCAATATAGACTATGGCCACACCATTCCTTGGCCAGGAATCCCTTCCAGGGATTCCAGCTGAGGCCTACCTAAATCTCCTTTGTTGCAATTTAAGCCCATTGCTTCTTGTCCCATTATCAGAGGCTAAGGAGAATGATCTAACTCTATCCTTTTAGGTATTTGAAAGCTGCTATCATGTCCCTTCTCAGTCTTTTCTTTTCCATAGTAAACATACCCAATTCTTTCAATCTTCCGTCATAGGTCATGTTTCCTAGACCTTTACTCTTTTGTATTGCTCTTCTTTGGACCTTTTCCAATTTCTACACATCTTTTCTGAAGTGTGCTGCCTAGAACTGGACACAGTATTCCAGTTGTGGCCTAGTTAGTGCAAAGGAGAGCAGAAGAATTACTTTTTGTGTGTTGCTTACAACACTCTTGTATGCATCCCAGAATGACGTTTGCTTTCTTTTTGGCAACAGTTGACTCATATTCAGTTTGTGGTCCACTATGACCCCTAGATTCCTTTCTGTAGTACTCCTTCCTAGATAATCACTTCCCATTTTGTATGTGTGAAACTGATTGTTCCTCCCTACATGGAGTACTTCACATTTGTCTTTACTGAGCTTCATCCTATTTATTTCAGACCATTTCTCCAGTTTGTCCAGATCATTTTGGATTATGACCCTGTCCTCCAAAGCACTTGCAGCTCCTTTGAGCTTGGTATCATCTGCAAACTTTATGTCGTTACTTAAATTGTTGATGAAGAACAGAACCAGTTCCTAAACTGATCCCTGCAGAACCCTACTTGTTATGCCCTTCCAGCAAGATTGAACCGTTAATAACTACTCTCTGAGAATGGCTATGCAGCCAGTTACACACCCACCTTAGTCACCCCATGAACATTGTATTTCTTTAATTTATTGATAAGAAGGCCATGTGAGACTGTATAAATACTTTACTAAAGTCTAGGTATATCACATCTGCTACTTCCCCCTTATCCACAAGGCTTGTTATCCTATCAAAGAAAGGTATCAGGTTATTTGATATGATTTGTTCTTTACAAACCCATGTTAACTGTTATTTATCATCTTCTTATCCTCCAGATGTTTTCAGATGGATTCCTTCATTATTTTTGCTCCATTATCTTTCCTGACACAGAATTTTAGCTGACTGGTGTGTAGATTGCAGGGTTGTCCTTATTTCCCTTTTTATAAATGGGCACCACATTTGCCTTTTTCCAGTCTTCTGGAATCTCTCCTGTCTTCATGACATTTCAAAGATGATAACTAATGGCTCAAATACTTCTTCAAAGAGCTCCTTGAGTTGCATTGATAACAAACATATTATTGTTAGACTTCACCTCGGAGTACAGAATGTGCTGTCACCTGAGAAAACTGGTGGAGAGTGTTATTAAAACCATAAATAAAGGCAAGGAAATTAAACACACACACACACAAAAAGTCTTACTGTCATTTATTCCTCTCCAGGTAAAGTGATGGTGATAAAAGTATCTGTGAGTGAAATAGGCTCTTTGGGGTACTGTCATTTTCGAGCTTGGTTTCCCTGTTATAGGGAGATTTTTCAGACAAATTTGACCCCAAAATTTAAATTTTATTAAATTGAGCTTTACAGATTCTGAGAGAGATGGAACTGTATTTCTTAGTTTCCCATCTGTAAAAAAGAGATAATAGGACTTCCTTGTCTCCCAGGCGAGTTATGAGGATAAATACATTAAAGAACTGTGAAATGCTCAGCTACTCGAGTGATAAGAGCCAGGTAAGTATCTAAGACATACTGGCGATTTTGTGATTCATAAGTAATCTCATCATACCAGTCCATGGTAGGAGTGATTCGCTCTTTTTTATTAATCAAGTGTACAGTAGATAAGAGCAAACAAAGAAACAATTTGAACACAAAATTTCATACTGAAAGGCAATCATTTCTTGCAGATGAGATGTTTCAGCATAAAATTATTACATGTAATATGATAGCCATTAGGAATCCATCGTAACCAATGTACTGCCAAGTGTTGTGTAAAACAACTTCTGCCTCTGAAGTGGTTAACTCCAGTTGCTTCATTACTGTATCTTTGAGAAATTTCAGCATTCTGGTAAAAATCAAGTACAGAATCATATTTATCTGTCAGGCAGGCTAGCACTATAATGGTGTGCATTTCAAACGTACAGAATCATATTTATCTGTCAGGCAGGCTAACACTATAATGGTGTGCATTTCAAAGAAACTATTTAATGCATATTCAGGGATTAGTCTGTGTGGGTTAATACTTGCTCCTCTCACAGATGGCAGCACCAGAGGGAATTATTACCATTATTTTACACTCGCTTTCTTGCTTTTAAAAGTGCAAGCAGCAGTTTACTTGCCACATATTACTCATACTCTGTTCCTTGCTTTTTTGCTGGTAGAATACATACACAAATGCAGACAAGCTTTTAGAGGCTGCAGAGCAGTTGGCTCAGACTGGGGAATGTGACCCTGAAGAGATCTACAAAGCAGCCCGGCATCTGGAAGTGCGGATTCAGGACTTTGTGCGGAGAGTGGAACAGAGGAAACTTCTCTTGGATATGTCTGTCTCCTTCCACACTCATACCAAAGAGGTAAGATGCACGTGATGGAATTTCTCTATATTACACAATAATGCAACAGACTTATAATTTACAAGGTAAAAGCTAAAAGAACGCGAACAGGATGCATTTATTGCACAGGGCAAATGCCAAATTCCTGCATTGTTTGATTTGGATCTTTGGGCCCTGACTTCAGTAAAGTGGAGAAAATGCGCTTAAACCATTTGTATGCATGCTGTGGAACAGTAAACTAGTGCAACACTATGCCCTCTTTCCCCCCGCCCCCCCCCCCCCAAAAAAAGCCAAACAGTGGTTAATTCACAATTAAAAGGTGGCACTGTAAAATAAGTGGCCATTTATACTATGGGTACACTTAGACTGCAGGGTTTTTCCAGGATCCTGGAGGTATCCTGGAAAAACTCCACCACGTTCAGGGAACGCATTTGCTCTTCCGCTTTTTTTTGCGGAAGAGCAAATGTACTCTTTCGGGGAGCTCTGTATACCTCTTCTGGAAAAGCAATCGGAAAAAGCCTATAGTGTAGACATAGCCTATGTTTGAGATCTTTTGTAACAACATCAATTAGATTAAACCCATTAGACATAAATGTGCCTGCAGTGTGATATGTACTCCTTAAGGAATTCTGTTTTAATGTAGCATCAATTAATATAGCCATTATTACTGTTCCTAGAAAAATTAACATAGCCATTATTACTTAGAGTCACTAGAAAAATTAAACTGGTTAATGAAGCTGATTTTTGTTTTCAAAATTAACCATAAGGGGTTATAAGTACACATACACATGAGGTTTTGATGACTCAGTGAGAACCTGAGTGCATGCTGTTTAGTGTAAAAAGTGAAAAACATTCAAAGATAAGGCTGTCTCAACACAAATACCATGGACAAGACATCAAGTAGGAGGTCACTGAGGATGTAATTAAAGCATACCTCACATTTTTCTGTAGACCATTCAACAATGAGGCTGTGTCTACATTGGCATCCCTTTCTGGAAAAGTGATGCTAATGAGACACTTCGGAATTGCAAATCCGTGGGGGATTTAAATATCCCCCGCGGCATTTGCATTTACATGGCTGCCGCTTTTTTCTGGCTCGGGGTTTTTGCCGGAGAAAAGCACCAGTCTAGACGCGATTTTCCGGAAAATAAGCCCTTGAAAGTAGGAATAAGGGATCTTCCGGAAAAGGGCAATTCCGAAGTGTCTCATTAGCATCCCTTTTCCGGAAAGGGATGCCAATGTAGACACAGCCTGAGTGACTATTAAAGATGGGCTTTTTCTGAGATGGAATTAGTCAGAATCACTATTTTCATGCTTTGTAGCATCTATTTGCAAGATCACACTTGATCCATAAAGATGCTCTTATTAGCTGAAAGTTTTGTCTATATTAGTTGAATTCCAAATTACGAAAAAAAGTCATTTATAATGGGCTTGAACAAAGTGGGGGAACGTTCATAAACAAAAATCAAAGGTAGCCTCCTAGAAATTATTAATGATTTGCAGTATATGCCTCACTTTTAGTAAATCTTAGAGATAAAGTAATGAAATATTGGAAGAGCAGGGTGCACACAGTTTCAATAAAGGTCCTGATTCTGTAATGCACATAAAAAAAAATGAGGAGTAACGTTAGTTTGAACCAAGGGGTTTGGTTTGAACTAACACATCCCGGCGCACACTTTCACTTTCGAAACAGCTGTTGAGTGGAGTAATGCACCGGCGAGGTCATGCTAATGAAGCGCAGGATATTTAAATTCCCGCTTCGTTAGCAATTTTGGTCGCCTACATTTGCATCCCTAGTTCGAACTAGGGAGCAAGTGTAGAAGTACTCCATGATACTATATTCAGTATATTATACTAAATTTGTTAGTCTCTACGGTGCGACAGGACCACTCATTGTTGTTTAATCAGTATATTATACTAAATTTGTTAGTCTCTAAGGTGCGACAGGACCACTCGTTGTTTACTACCCTTCTGAGACTTTTTGTGGTGAATTAGCCCAGAATCTCTGTCAGGATAAAATTCTCCTTGCTGCAGAAAGGATAATACTAGAACCTTTGTACTGTATAAACTCTACCTGGTTTTGATGCAGGAGATATGAGAGAAGACCAGAATGTGCACTATTTACATCAGATGTGGATTTTGCAAACCCGCCTGGAGCCGATTCAAAGGCTTCAGTGACAGCAAACCAGGGAAGGAGCCATAGATCCTTGCTTATGGGAAGTCAATGGTTTTGATAGCCTTTGGAATGAGTACAGAAATGCTGCAGGTGGAACTGTAGTCCATAGCTGTCACAAGGATTTGGGAGATGCATAGTAGCTCTGCTATATAGGGGAAGCTTTCACTTCTCTAGACTTTTGGCACTTATTTCACTATGTGTGGTAGGACTGAATTTCATCCCCTGGTTACTGTCTTCATTCCACTAGCATGTTTCAATATCTTAGATTAGAAGCACTGATATTAATCACATGGCCCTAACAGCATGTTTTTTGCCAAAATGGTTTAGTGAAGAAATTGCAGTGGTTTTAGTATTCATCTGCCAGATGTAGCAAACACTGAAGAGACAATGAAGTAAATTAAGAGTGCCAGAAGTGAGCTGGTGCAAAGGACAAAATGTTATAACAATAGAGTCTAGGCACATGCTTGGATCTAGGTTTGTCTTTTCATAATATAAATAGGCTGTCCTAAGTGAAAATGACTCATTGCTTGGCTTTGTTTGGACCTTGAATTTTAACAAACATAAATTAACCAACATAAATGTTGTTTTTCAGTATGGCTGTAAAATAGATGATTGAACTCTTTAA